AAACTTTCTGGGTTATTTTTACGAAACTTGTTTTACCATTTACTATATTTTTTCGGCTTCATTCTGGATTAATTTTGCTGAAAATGTTTGGTGATCGAAATGCAGAGGAAGACAATGAAGTAGTTCCACCTGAAAGAAACAGATACGGTAGCAGTGCGTAAGAAAATACGTTCTTCAAGCTTGAATGAATGTACACATAATGAAGACTTTCGATTTAATTTTAGAAAGTGAATTTTCTTTTCACACACAAAAAATCCTACCCTTCATTATTCACAAAGATAATTATGACCAGAAAGAAGGCAATGTCATGTTTATTTTTTGTATTTACTGCAACCCGTTAAATTCAAAATTTACAAAATGACAGCACAAAGACCTAAATATTAATTATAGATGCACCTTGTTTACTTAAGTAGCTATTGCAAAAGGATATATTAAAATGTACTAACTGCTTTTGAGGACAATTTGTGAAGCATTATCTTTACAACAGTATGAAATGTACTTAACCGTTTTAAAAACATCTTACACCTTTTACTCACTTATTGTGCATGTAAATATTAGAATATTATTGATTTCAAAAATGTGATAAACGCCATGCACTTTTTTAACGTTAATGAATTGCATGCAATGTTTTATATCTGTATTCCCCTTTATTTCATTAAACGCTGTATCTATCGTTGTTGTGCAGGTTTCCTATTCTTTTTTCCTTCTTTTGAACGATTTTTAAGTACCTTTTAAAATTTATAAAAAAAAAAAAAGAAGAAAAAAATTGGTTTGCAAGCGATTTATTTGGTGGTACTGGGAGAAATCTAATTCAAATACAGTTTATTTTGAAATCTTTTGTACATGTGGTTAAGATTGTTAAAAATCAAATTGATTTCCTTGTTTGACAGGGATATAATTGATGGCATTTATTTAGTATTTAAGAATACAGACTGAATTTAATTGATAAATATAAATAATAAAAAAAAAAAATATTTTTATTTACTATAAATGGATGATCTACGGATAAAAAAAGTTGCAGGCCTTTTGATTTATTTTATGTGGTTCAATAATGTATTTATTATATAAATAATGGTGTATTCTATTGACTTTGTTATTAAACGTAAAAGAAAATGTATGGTTTATTTTATGATTATTATTGTATCCGTTTGCAATAAAAATGAAGCTCTATGCCTCTAGTAGACCTTTTTTCATAACGGAACTAAGATCTGTTTACCGAGCGTGAAAATAAAATAATAATAACATGGTACAGAGAAATAAGAAAGGATTGATTGATTGATTGTATACTGTTTAACGTCCCTCACCAGAATATTTCATTGATATGGAAACGTCACCATTGCCAGTGAAAGGCTGCAAATTTAGGCCTATGCTCGGCATTTACGGCTTTTGAGCAGGGAGGGATCTTTATCGTGCGACACCTGCTGTGACACGGGGCCTCGGTTTATACGGTCTCATCCGAAGGACCGCCCAATTTAGTCGCCTTTTATGACAAGCAAGGGGGTACTGAGGACCTATTCTAGCCCGGATCCCCACGGAGAAATAAGAAAGGAAGGGAAAACGTGGGCAAAGTGAAAGCCATCCTCAAACATATCGGACATAAGGTATCCGATTTAGAATAGCCTCGGATGCAACATGGTTAGTCCTTTCCTACTCTAAACTGCTTTGAATTAGTTTCAAAGTATTTCATACAGGATGGATATTTTAAGTCCTTATATGGGTCGGATACCTTATAAGGAGCCCCTAATTAAACTTTAGTTCTTTTTATCACCATAAGAAGAAATAATTTTGGATTTTTGGGAGATTCACCTTAGAAGAGCCCTTAATCCTTAGAGCATTTACAGTATACACGTTTCTAATCTCAGTAGGCAAGGCATTCCAATATATTTTTGATAGAAGGAATGATAGGAAAAATATTTTTATTAAGGTGTTTCCACCCTTACAATCAATATACTTTAAATGTTATTAATTATTGCAAAAAATGTATAGGTCTCCACATTATTAAAAATGCGAAACATAAACAGAAGTGTATGTCAAATTCAAAAAATCGCAATTTTTTTTTTTGTAAACAGTATTATGAAAAATATGTAAAAACTGGTTAAAATGCATAATTCTGATACTGAATGTTCCTAAATACTTCCTACTTATAATATAATGTCCTTTTGAATTGTGAATATCAGAGAAACTGTTTTATGTCAGAAGAATATTAAAGCAAATACCTGAATGAAGAGACCCTAAAAGGAGTTGCCCTTGTCAACATTTTTGAACGATTGAATAATTGATAAAATAAAGAAAATGTTCTTAAGCTATCATGCTTATGAACCGTCCGTCCGTCCAAGTGTCAGTCAATCAGTCCGTCAGTCCTATTTTTTTTGTAAGCGCAACTCATCCTAAACCGCTGCACGGAATTTCATCAAAACTTTGCAGATATATAGGACACAATGTGTAGATGTGCATATTACCAGGAAAATCTGATTCATTAATTTTTTTCCGGGAATTCCACTATTCAGCTTAGATTTTTGGCCATACCTTGAATATAGAGATGAATAGTTTGTCAGCGCAACTCCCCTTAAACTGCTGCACATAATATCGTCAAACTTTGCAGATAATTAGGACACGATTTGTATATATGTGCATATTAACAGGAAATTCCGAATCTTTTTTTCTTCTCGGAATTTCCAGACTTTTCAACTTATAATATCACAAAAGACAAAGCACAAGACTTCTTTTTTTGTCTAGAGCAATACAAATATTATTATAGAATTCTATTAATATGGTAATCGTTGAATTTTACCACAAAAATTAAGCTTTTAGGACACTAAATGATTTTAATGTGTTAATACCTTACTCTTTTAATTTTTTTACCCCTTGGACTCAGAAGAATTCCAATTACATTTTGTATTTGCAGTTTCCGTTCATTTATCTCACAGAGGTTGCACATTCTGAAATGAAATTTGGTATACAGATGTATCTTAAGAATACATGATGTATGTAGGTCAAGTAACATGTACATGTATGTTCGGGGTACGGTCGAGCCATTTTTGACAGAGGTACATTGTATGCCCCTTGGTCTAAGAAAAATTCCAATTATTTGCAGTTTCCGTTCTTTTTATTCACGGTTGTACATACTGAAATGAAATTTGATATATCAGATGAATATCTAAGTCAAGTTCCGTTTCGGGTATGAACAAGCAATTTGGGACAGAATTATGCCCTTTGGACTTAATTTTTTTTTAATTATTTGGAGGAATGGAGGAAAAGTGTTTAACAAACATCTCTTGTTCATTTAATAAATTTAAAAACATCCTCTTCTTTTGGTTTTGTTTAAATTATAAACTTTATTTTTTGTTCCTGGTATTTTTCTTTAGATATGTTTCGCGATTTTAGTTTTTGTGGAAGCTTTTCTTAATTTTTTTCGCACAAGTTTATTTCTGACCTTAATCAATAATTTAAACAAAGTTTATCGTCCAGCCTTACTACTAGATATATTTATGGGATGTGGTCATTCAGAAATTCTGAAAATTTTCCTTTAAATTTTATTTCATCAAGGTCAACGTCTTCTCTATTTTAAATTTTGCCCCAATTTATGTCTACATTGATTAAAACTCGCTCTCTTGTGCAGAAAAAAATCTTCCTAACATACGTATTTTGCATCGCTGTAGCTACATGTAATTTGAGTATAAATAATGTTCATGTTGCTTTGTGATCACTTACTGTTTTATGTATATCGATAGTTACGTATACTGATTCATGGCAAACAGTGGCATCTGTAGTAAGTACGCGGTCAATATCAAATTGATGTCATGTGTCACTGTCGGAAGGGTAATATAGTTTGTAAGGTTATAAATTTGTCACAATTATATCAGTTACATAGGTTAGAAGCCTTTTACTTGAATTTATATTCCTAATCCCCATCTTATACTAGATTATTAGATTCACTAAACCCCGTCCAGTTGAGAATACAATCAAGCCTGTTCCAGAATTCAATCTTGGATGTTTCATAGCTACATATAAAAGAACGCCGTTTAAGAATCAGATGGGTTTTTTTTTTTTTAGGATAATTTGATAAATATTCAAAGTATCAAGCTAAATTTTTCAACATTTTTAAAAAACTTTTGTTGTTTTGTGTTCCTTAAAAATTTTGTAAGCATAGACTACATAGTATTAATTTTATCGCATCAGTCCACGAACTTTTCGAACAACCCTCTTATATAAGATTAATTTTCATGATTGTCTGAAGATTGTCAGTCACGTATATATATTATTTTTGGACATGACTTAAAGTAGATAAGATAAGGAAACTATATGTACTTTGACAAATAGCAATCAAGCTAATAGTTACTTTGGCTCCACTTAAAACTTTTCATGTTAAATTTGAACTTAACAGCCAATGCCAACACTACAATGATTGGTAAATAATTTCGTATACTTGTGAGTTCATGTAATTTCAACTTTCCCAATAATTTTTCTTGTTGAAATTGACACTTATGTTATAAACAAGGAAACATATCTAAATCCTTTTCGTCTAAATCCTCTTATATTAAAATTAATTAAGTTAGTCATGTAGAATAAAGTTACAACTGACTGAAGTACCCAAAAAAATGCCTTGTATTTGTTAATGAACATTTAATTTTAGATTGAGGAGCCTTTTTAAAACTGAATGTAAGTACAAAATTCTGTTGTTTTTGTTTGTTTTGTTTTGTTTTGTTTTGTTTTTTTTGTTTGATTTTTTTGTGTATTTTTTTCTTAGTTTATTAAATGTTCACTTTTGAAAACATATTTCTCAAAAGCAATTTTATCTTTGCAGGCAGTTAGAAGTGTAAAACATTTTGTTATATGATTTTAAAAAAAATACTTATTTTTTTGCGCTTTAGAATATAGCATGTTTAAATATGCACAATGTTCACATGAAATTATTCTATGGAACTGTTTAAAACCCATATTGTTTTTTTCTTTACAAAAGGTGATTGGGCTTTTAGAATTGGTGCTTGTTAATTTTTATACGCTCGCAAATATATCAGTTATATTGATCGACCTACATATATATATTTAAAGATTTATGTGAAATAGAATTACTTCCTGAGAAAAATCATATAAATGAACTATGTCTAATATATTAAGACAAAAATATCCTTAGGTCAACAAAACAAACAACTGAAAATTGGTGTATTATGGCGGAAGGCAGGTTTAGGCAGGTAAACATGTTTTTATTTTCATAAATTATTCCCTTGATTTAGATTATAAACGTTAAAATTCTTTGTTAATTAACTGTTATCAATAAATTGTTATCGAAGTTATAAAAGAATCCACAATAAATTATTAACATGTAATCTTTGTGATTGTGAGAATCCTAAATACAAATTGGTATAATTAATATCCTTACAGAATTATGAAAATGAATATCACCAGCTGGACGACATAAATTCGTATGTTGAACTGGTAAATTATATTGACAATAGTCTCTTTTTTTTTACAATTGAAATAATATGTGCACTTTTAAAGAACAACGTAAGTAATTTTAAACTTTTCTAAAAACCTTAAAAGAAAAAGACAACAAATGCATGAATTACTGTATTTTTATTACAAATTGAAATAAAATCGTTTTTTTTTTCTTTTGTTAAAATGTTTATAAGTGATAAATGTAAAACAATAAACACGATAAAGAAACAAGAGAAAGTTTCGAAATTTAATGAGCAAAATTAGAATAATAAACATGTTTGTATATACTATAGGATCATAAACATGTTCGTATATACTATAGGATCAAAAACATGAACATTAAAAGAGGAAAACTTAATGACTTCGATTTCCTTTTTTCATGTAGATCCCGAATTTGGAAACAGATTTCGAACAGGTAGAAGCAATAACACATCAAAATACATCGAGGATTTGTTTAAAAACAGTTGTCATCTCCGTCCTCCTTGTCGCAGTCGTCGGCTTTGTAACGATGACAGTTTTATATATTCAGGAAAGAAGTAAACGGCAAAATGAAAATGACAGTAAATTTAATACTTTCAAAATACTGTATTTAATGCATTTGTATCATATTTCATGTCATTTCTTTTCGTATTTCAAGGTGAAGACAAAACCAGATGGCTTCCTTAAGATTTTTTTTCATACCACTACGCTCCACATAAACCCTTAACTGAATAGACTGACTTTGACGGAATAAACATTCGGGCCGTACAATAAGGATACAAAGTTTAACCTCGATAAGCCTCTTTAATTAACCAATCAGAGCGAATAAAATAGAAAATGCAGGAAAATATTGAAAGTAGGTTAAAATCTCAAATTTTTAACTTTAAAGCAGAGACAAGCCATGCCCTTGTTTATCTAATAGCTTAATTATTAACTGGTTTTTTATTCTGTTAAAACTGAACGTTATTTCTTTCATGAAAACTTTGATAAGGTCAATCAGAGAGAGCATCCTATAGTCAGTCTATTCCCTCACATGCTTTTGTAGATCTGGATTAGAAACCCCTAATTTAGGAAGATGGCTGATGGAAAAAAAGTATGAGTTTAAGAGTGTTAGATTGCACTTGCAAATTGACATTTAACCACATTGGCACAAAACATGTTTGTCGAGTGTCCATTTGCACTTTTCCCGAGTATCATATACATGTACGGCTTTGTAAAACTTCCTACTTCAATTTTGTGATTCAAGAGTATTGGAATTTTGCGAAGAGCGCCGACTTTTACAGTCCACAACTTATTTTTACACTTTGACAATATACGGAAATTCTTTTGCAATAAAAAATAATCCAGCTCAACGTTTAATTTTACTAATATAGAAAGTTTTCGACTTGCCAAAATTTAGCAAAAGTTACCTCCCTTTGACCGCCATATCGGAGGTCGACTCGGTGATTTTTCCTCTCTGTCTTACCATGTTTGAGAGGTTGTAGCAGAAATATTTGGTGGAGAATCTTTATTAAATATTTTTTTTCAAATAAAGGAAGCTTCCAAAAATGTATATACTTCTGGAAAATAATGATTCCTACATGTAATTTAAAAGAGCAAATATAAAAATTAAAAATTGAATGAACAATATAGGAATATGAGCATTTGGACTTCCAATATGGCGACCAACGGAAAATAACTCTTGCTAATTCGTAAACTATCTTTACCGAGCTGAAATAAGCACACACAAGTTGTCCATAAAGAATCCGAAAATTGCGCCTGACACATTTAATACATTAATTTTGCTGGATGAAAACACTTTTTTAAAAATAGATTAATCAAATGAAGACATGAACAACGTTATTTTTCTGACATGTAGGTACTGTACACTGTAGTTTTTTTAAAGATAAGTTGACAATAAACAACTTTTTTACTCAAGATAATATTTTCTTTAATTTATTGCAATTTCTGTGAAAGCCTTTTTAACATGTTAAACATGTTTATTTCTATATCGGTCCTCAAGGGGAAACTAATGGTCAGAACCAGAAAACAGTGGTCTGCTCTAATGACCCTTTTAAAGGAATGAATTATACTACAGCAGGAAAAACAGGTACCGAGTACTTTAAGGATTTTTTTTTAGTATTTTGTGTTGTTTATCGACTATGATAATTAATTTTGTTTTTTATCTCCATATAGCCTTCTTAGATTTATTTTAATATCTTGAAAAGCCTTTTTTTATGCCCCGAATGGAAAGATCCCGGGGGATATTTTTTGTCCTGCCTGTATGTTTGTTTGTTGTCAACTGTAATCTATCCCATATCTATTGCGCTGTCGAGGGTAAGTGTCTACAACTTCAGACAGTCTTCGTCCAACTCTAGAGTTTTGTAACCATCAAGGGCATAGTGTTTCACAAACGCATCTTGTTAAATTATGTAAACATGTTTAACATTTTTATCATTCGGTTTATAGGAATTCAGGGACGCCAGTTTTTGGTCTGTTTTACTGACAATCTCAACATGGCAAGTGACGAAACCAAGACCATATATATTTTATCGGATGGAGATTTCGAGTTTAAATTAATTTCAACGTTTTCTACAGAGCTCTTCAATGAAGTTGTTACACCAAGGAAAAATGTGAGAGAAATTAGCATTACAAGTGCGATTTCACTCTCAGATTTCAAAATCGAAGAAAAAGCACTGCTGATCGAGACTTCCAGAGACGTGTCCATTATCATCATTGACAATTATATACATACTTCTGATAGCACTAGCATTTTACCAATAAAATCAACATCAAATTCATATGTCATTTCTACACCCGGTGCGTTGAGCAAAACAACAGGTCCTCAATTTGCAATAGCCTCCCGAAGGAACAGTACTACAATCAAAATACACTTTCAGTTTGATCCCGATTTGCCAAAGAAAGTAAATGGAATAACGTACCAAAATGGCAGTGTAATGAATCTCGTCTTAAATGAGCTTGAAACATATGAAATATACCACAGAGTCGACATGTCAGGTACCTTTATTGATTCAACATCTCCCGTCGCAGTATTTTCTGGAAGTTACTGTACTGAAATAGGTTTTAAAAACAGCACTGATTTTGGATCTTGCAGTAAGCTTGATGAACAACTTCCACCTATTAATAGGCTGGATAAAATGTATATTGTCCCACCTAATTATAACAGGATGGGAACAGTCCTGAAAATTGTGTCACCTTTCCAAACCCGACTTACATATAAGATTGGAAATAAACAAACGGAGAAAATACTTAAACCGAGAGGATATTTTGAAATAACTTTTTCTGATAAAGAAGTCGTCGTCATAGATTCAGAAAAGCCGGTTTTGGTGACCAGCTTTGCCACTGGGTCTAGCGAGACGGGTAACCCTTATATGATTACTGTACCAGGAATTAGACAATATACAGATAAATATCTAGTGATGGTTCCCGGAGATTTCAAAGAAAGCTATGTGGCTATTATAGTTGAGGAAAAATCACTAATCAATTTGATGTTAAACGAAACAAAAATCATTCATTATTTGAATGACGGAAAATTTTATAATACCGTAACATTGTGGAATATAAACTTTGCCGTTGTTGTTTTACAGGTACAGGGAGGTTTTTTAAGAGTTGAATCGACAAATAATGCGGCGTTTGGGTTAATCGTGTATGGTCATAGAAGAAGAGATGGACACGGATTTGCAGGAAAATCAGTTTTGCCGGACGTGTGTGTCCCTTCCAATAAATAATTCCATTCCTTTTCCCCTTCTTTTAAATTTTTTCGGATGTGGAGCCATTGACAGTAAAGGATATCGGTGCATACCCTCTTAAGTCACTATTGAAGTTTTGTTTTTTAGCTCACCTGAGCTGAAAGCTCACGTGAGCTTTTCTGATCATCCGATGTCCATCCGTCTTGTACATTTTTCAACTTCATGTCAAGAACCACTGAGCCAATTTTAACCAAACTTGGAACAAAGCATCCTTGGGTAAAGGGGACCTAAAATTATTAAAATTAAGGACCAAGTCCCTTTACAAGGGGAGATATCATTAAAAAATCTTCTCTCAAGAATCATTGGACTAGGATACATGTAGCTGAAAGTAATATGGAAGCATTCGTGGATAGCGTAGACTCTTAAATGTTAAAATCATCAGCTAGGGCGGTGCCACAAAAGGAATTGAAGTTTTACAAAGAAATTTTAGGGGAAATCTTTCAAATTCTGTTCAAGAACCTATGGTCAAGGAAAGCTCAAACTTAAATGGAAGCATCCGGGAGTTGTGTAGATTCTAAATTGTTTAAACCATGACCCCCGGGGCTAGAATGGGGCCTAAATAGGGAATTCATGTCTAAGATAGAAATATATAGGAAAAATCTTTTTAAAAATCTTCTTCTCAAGAACCACTTGGCCAGAAAAGCTAATACTTATGTAAATGCATTAGGGCCTCTTGTATTTTATTTAACTCTGAGTCTATTGCTGTATGTTCTTTATTTTGATGCGTTAATTTGAAGACAAAAAAACTTCATTGATCGACATGACTGTTTATATGTACAAAATTAGAATATATTCAATAATATTACATATGCATGTACATAAATAATCAATTATCTTTGTACTCCAGAAATGAAAAAAAAAATGTTGCTTTTATTAAAATGTAAACAAAGGCAAAAGAAAGCAAAATAAAGTTTTGGTTCTTGTTATTAATTAAATACATGTAAGATAGAACTCTCGTGAGGTTAGACTGTATCGATGCAATACGTAATATCGCAATTACCTCGCAGATATCTTACTTACTTCCGCTCTTTTGCGGAGGAGTCGAGAAAGCTCTGTGCCACATGACATTGTTTACAGTGACAATCGAATGATTCGAACAATTTTATGCCGAAAGTATAATGTATTGCCACGGATTGAACTCCAAATTGCAGTCAAATAAGAAAAGTTTAAAACATTTTATCAGCTTTAAAATGTGTCGATTTTCAATGAAAATTTAATGAAAAGAGTCTGTTTAGATAAAATATCGTGTATAATATATGTTTGTAAAACACAGATGACTCCATATGGCCACATAGCGAAGGTAAAGCTTTCTCAAATGTAGATTTAATATGTTGGTATCTGAAGTACGGCCTTTCCACAACATTTTCACAAGAAACACAAGTGTGAGATATAAAAACTCTAGCACCACCTATTCAAAGGTTATGATCAAGGTCAAAGTTTAAAGGTAGCACAAAAGGTCAAGGTTGTTGGTTTCTAAAAATAGGCCTTGTCTCAACGATTACACAAGGTGAGGATTAAAGCGCTGGTCCTTACCATTAAGAAGTTATGGCCAAGGTTAAAGATTGTAAAAAGTAGGTTAAACTCCAAGGTCAAAGGGTCAAAGTTGTTTATATTCAAGAAAAAGCTCTCACAGAAAATAAATATGTGAAAAATGAAAGCCTTAGCTGTTGCCGTTCAAATGTTATAGCCTAAATTAAAAGTTTTTTTTTTCGTAATACTTAAATCTCCAAGGTCAAGGTCAAAATTGTTTATTTCAAATAAATGGTCTTGCCATAAAATTTTCATATTTGAAATTCCTAGTATCCTCTTGTTTAAAAATTAGGGCCAAAGGAAATGTTTGGATTTTTTGTGTATAAAACTCGTTCAAACTCGAAGGTCAAAATTCTTGATAACAAATGCAGACCTGTTTACTCTTACGATTTCGCCGTATTTTGTACGGATTTTAAGCCTATGATACGTCTCACGTTTTTCTACAGTGTATTATGAAAATACGGAAATCTGAAAAACGTTCGTTTGGAATTAAACAGTTGATTTTCATTATGATTTGTTTTAGTTTCACGCTTTTAAATCGCTAAAAAGAGAAAGATTTCAAACACAAAAAAAGTGTTCTGCATTCTACAATGATATAGATCATGTTGTTAAACCATGTTTTTGTAAGGCCATTCCAAGTTTTTTCTCTGTTTAGCGTCTACCCATCTTTCGAAAACCTACCTACCTATTCGCAAAAAACATGCAAGCCAAAACATAAAACACAGGATTAAAAGTCATAAAAATGACGCCCTTCAAATGATTTGATCTAACTTACATGTAACTGCTTTAATACAAGAAATGTCTATGCTTAAGGACATACGCAACGTTCCTTACCTACTGATAATTTTCCAAGATATTCTAAATTTAAACTTATAATATCATTACATATTTTTAGACAAAAAATCAGCATGCGTTACTAGGGGTTTTGAAAAGATACCGAATTTTGAAAATTTTTGCATTATTCAAATAAAAATGTACAAAAATTATATAACATGAATTGCAGATTTTTTTTCATCAAAAATTGTTTTAGAAGAGGTGTATAAATCCATATATAGACATTAAAAATATTGCACACAGGTCCTTCATTTAGTGGAACTTTTCAACTCCAGGGAAGAATCCAAAAATGTTCAAACTACGTTGCGTATGACCTTAAGCAAAAACAAGGGATTAAATGCTTACAATACACTCAATATAGGAGAAATTGACAAAATAAAAAAAAAATTTACTAAATTAATCACTTTCAGGACTACTGATGTTGTGTGTTTTTGCTTATATGGGGTGTCAAAAACCAAGGCGCACGCGGACGCTAAACATAAAAAAAAACTTGGAATGGCCTAATCGGAAAAGCAGTTGTTCTCTATAAATACGAGGGTCATTCAAAAAATACGTAGACAATGTTCCTTTTCATCACATTATTTTTACAAATTTTAATATCAGTACATTTTTAAATGTAAAAAAATATATTTTGTAGATATCTGAAGTTTCATTCTGTTTGATTAAACGGAACTCATACTAGACAATTTTAAATGCAACATGTTTTGTCGCCACGGAGCACGGTCAAAAACAATGTAACGTCAAAAACAACGTTAAAAATTTTTTTTCAAACTCACAGTGCCTTTTCATTTTATATATGGTTTGTATCGTATTCCTCATTCATTAAAACGTTTCCACAACACTTGACACCTAGTCTGCTATCAATAATTTGAATATAATTTAGATGAGATTGTCAATGTTTTCAAATCCTTTACCATGTAACTCTGCTCTTACAGGTTCCGCAACAGTGAAGTGCACATCACGTTTCATGACGTTACTAACTCTTTTGAAAAGATTTTGAACTGTAATCTGTTTTTGCAGAACGCCCATCGCCAAATTTGAAGTCTTTACCCCTCAAAATTTGTCTGTTCCATTATAAACAGATACACGGCTCATTTTATGTATTTTTCCTGGTCTCTCCAGCATTTTCGGAGTTTGTTTTATAAGTTTCCAAATGCAAAACAAAATTATATTGCTACTCGCTGCTCCGTGACGTCCTTCAACGTCATGATTTTTTGCTTGTTTAAATCAAGACTATATGTCTATAGAAATGGATATCTTTTTAAAAAAGCAATGTATTACATTAACTTTTTGCTTTTGAAGAAATGAAACAATAGTAAACTTAAATATGTAAATTTTATTTCATTTAAGGACAATTTTAAAGAGGTATGGCTATAGATATGAAAAGCGAATAATCAGTTAATAACTCAATATTGACCCTGCTCCGTGACCCCATTTTTGCTGTCTTAAATCTTTGATAATTTTGACAAACATCAAGATATATTCCTATTTCTTTGCTCAAAATATTTGAATCTGTTGTTAAAATATATGTACCAATTTTGGTTTAAATATGACGTTAAATAAAAAAGTTATGACAAAAGTCTACGAACTTTTTGAATGACCCTCGTATATGGACAATCAATGGAAAGTGAAATCTTACTAGCAAATGCCAAATCTCACGGACAAATCTAATCAAAAATACTGTGAGACAACGATATGGTTAAACAGGTCTGCAAATGAAAGGTCTTGTCACAGTAATTAAATTTGTGAAATATGAAAGCCTTAGTCATAACCGTTCAAAAATAATAGTTTTTTAAAATTAGGTCAAAATCCAAGGTCAAAGGGTAAAAGTTTTTGGTATCCAATGAATCATCTTTTCACAATAATTACATAAGTGAAGTATGAAAGTCCTAGCCCATACTGTTTAAAAGTTATTGCCATGGTTAAAGTTTTTATAAGTACAAAAATCCCCAATTTCAAAAGTTCAAAGTTGTTGGAACTCGATGAAAGGTCCTTCCACGAAAAAATATATACATATGAAATATAAAAGTCCTGGTATCTTCTGTTCAAAAAATGTGGCCAAAGTGAAAGTTAAGAATTTTTTAGTAAAAGTGGGTCAAACTACAAGGTCAAGATCAAAAAATCAAATTTCGAATGTTTTTAGGAGGCATGCATCTGTAGCTCTCTGCTTTATCTCTCCAAATTTCTGAAGCTAGTAATTTTACGTCGATTTAGTTTTGCGAATCTGGGTCAAAGGGATGTAGATAAATTTTTCAAACTTCTGCGAAAGCCCGGTTATAAATAGAGACCAACTGTCAGCGAAATTGTTCGTGTGCTTTTTTAAGAAAAATATTTTTGCGAATGCAAGAGACACACAAACTTACAGTAAACATTTCAAAATTTACGCTAAAGTCTGAAGTATTTTCCTATCGTTAATATATCGGAAATTTTCTTATCAGCTAACGACAAAATAATTTTTACGAGTATTGCGAAAGGTTGCCATTATGTTGTAACTGCTAGACTATGATAATGTTGATTCCGCGTGGAATTAAATTAAATATTAAACTGGGCTCTAACCAGAAGAGCTAAAACCAGAAGAAAAAGAAACAGCAACCTTTTTGTACGTTATTAATACACAATTTTTTAGGTCACCTGAGTAGCACAGGTGACCTATTGCTATCCGTTTTCGTCCGTCGTCGTGTGTTTACATTTAAACATTTTCAGCTTTTTCTCTGAAACCACTGAGCCAATTTCAACCAAATTTGGTATACAGCATCTATGGGTGAGAGGGAATAAAAATAAAAATTGTGAATTTCATAGTTCCCCCCCCCCCGGGGCCCGAGGGGTGGGGCCAAAATCACGAAAATTATTGCAATCTTTAAAAATTTTCTTTACTCCTGGACATCAAGCAGGCAAACTGTTGGCATGAATGTTATGAGCATTGAGTCCTCTACCAAAATTGTGAAATTCATGGCCCCAGGGTCAGGGGTTCTAGTGCTAAGGCGGGACTATATAGATTATATAGTGAAAATGCATTATTTCTTTGAAAATCCTCTCTGCTAATGGGTATCAAATAAACAAACTAAGTACATTATTATGATGAACAAGAGTGCATCTTCCAGATTTCTGAACTTTATGGCCCCAGGGTCAGGGGTTCTGGTGTTAGGGTCGGGCTCTATAGATTATAAAGTGAAAATGCATTTATTTTTTGAAAATCTTCTTCTCTGCTTCTGGGTATTAAATAAACTTACTAAGTACATAGTTACATGTATGATAAGCAAGAGTGCCTCCTATAAAACTGTGAATTTTATGGCCCCAGGGTCAGGGGTTCTGGTGTTAGGGCGGGCTCTATTGATTATATAGTGAAAATGCATTTATTTTTTGAAAATCATCTTCTCTGCTTCTGGGTATTAAATAAACTAACTAAGTACATAGTTGTGATAAGTAAGAGTGCCTCCTATAAAATTGTTATTTGTTTAGCCCCAGGGTCAAGGGTTCTGCTGTTAGGGCGGGGCTCTTTTGATCATATAGTAAATACATTAATTCTTGGAAAATCTTATTCTCTGCTTCTGGGTATTAAGTAAACTAACTAAGCACATCGTTACGATGAGTAAGAGTGCCTCTTCCAAAATTGTGAATTTTATGGCCCAAGGGTCAGGGGTTCTGGTGTTAGGATGGGGCTCTATTGATTATACAGTATAAATATATTAATAATTTGAAAATTTTTTCCTTTGCTTCTGGGTTTTATGCCAATGATCCAAGTATATATATTGATGATGAAGAAAGGTGCATCTAGCAATGTGTTTTTTTTATGCCCCCTGGATCAGAGGGTGGGGGGATACCTTATCTGAAAATAAATTAATGCTTTGAAATCAGCTCTTTGGTATTAACCATTTTATGATAAAATTTGAAAAGTCATAATAATTTGCATTCTAGTTTTAACCCCCTTCCCCACAGTCACGCATTTTCACGCATATACCATTGCCTATTTCTAACGCAAAATAACGCATATACCGTTTCCCCGCAATCACGCATTTTTCACGCTATTTCAAAAGTACATTTAATCTTAAATTTCCTGCCAATTCCCTCTTATCTTGTACTTGCTAAAATATTATAAAATAAGAAAATTTATAATCTTCTTAAAATTTTACTTCACAATATTATTTACACTAAACTTTAGAAAAACTTGAACTGCGCTTTTAAGTGCCTGCGGGGAAAAGGTAACTTCATATTGCTGTGACGTGTACGTTAAATGTACGTTGCATAACAGTTAAGGAAGTTGTAAAGAGTTAATGAATGCATGCACCTGTAACGATAAAAATAGATTTCAAACTAGAAGTTTTAAACGGATAAAAGAATAATTTTTCCTACAAGCTAATTTTGGAGGGGCATATTTTAAAGATGTTTCCTTAAATGTGTGTAAAGCAAAGTTAGAATACAAATGGCTCTGAATTGAGTGTGTTTACGGCGTATTCGATCTGTGCACGTTGTACCGTATTTAATCTGTTAACAGAGTTTGCTTATTTCTGTACGGCATCCGATTTCCCCTTTAATTGTAAGTTCGTCTAAAAATCCCAAAGATATTGAGTAGAGTTAGCATGTCTCTTTTATCGAACTGAATACGTTAAACAATGGAAATAATTAGAGTATACGTTTGTAAGAGAAACTCAACTTCAAAGTCAGGATTAAGGATATGTTATACATTATTTAATTTGTAATTATTTTGTAGTATGCAAATCCAGTATTCTAAACAGATTGTGTTCGTTTCCTTTAATGAAGAATTGTTTATATATAGACTGAGTCCATTCCTTCCGTTAGTTTTCTATTTTGGTTCACAGAGGAGAGGAACTTGAGAAGGTAACAGATTCCTTTAATTTTATCATGTTTTACATGTTCCAGTAGTCTAACTCAGACATGTATAATATGCTTTATAGTTACATTATATTTAATTAGTAATAAAAACTTTTACATATATCAAAATAATACTAAAATACAGCATCATTACTATTTTGGCCTCATTGAAAATATTAAAATGCCGTTCAAAATATTTTTTTTACATTACAGGAACAAAGTTATATTTCGACTGAACAAAAAAAAATATTTAAAAATGATAAAACATTTCAAACTTCCTTATAAGTAATTTTAGAAAAAAAAAAACAATACTCACCGAATATATATCAGGGCTGCAAATGTGATTATAATCTTACACATAAACATGTTCATAATAACCATTGGCCGCACTGCTTTTGACTGAGTGCCTAACACACAGCGCGTCGAACTTGTTAATTATTCCCGATTTCATTTCTTTGTAGAAATTGAAACGTGCCCACATTCTGTTTCAGTACATATGTATATTATTACACAGCGAAGTTAATCCATTGTTTTTATTTGATTAACGTCTCTGTAAGAATTTTCACTCATATTGAGACGCCTCCCCCTACTGCTGGTCTAAAATTAGACATAAGCCGCCAATCAGAGCCACTAAGAGGCGATGGCGTCGTTTCCCTTCCAACATCTAATGGTACCTCGGTTTATTCGGTGCCATCCGATTGACCGTTCTCCACGTCCCACAGTTGGATTCGAATTTATGGTGAAAGGAAAAAGGTACTCGAACAAACGTTTTAACCACTGTGCCAAGCGGGCGACTAGTATTACAGTAGCTATGTTCTTTTACAGATAATATGACGTTGCGATTTCCCATTTTAGACATAACAGAATAAACTCTCGTTTCCGATGAGTCTATGTATTAAAACACATGTACAAGTTTTTAATTTATGGTATTAAATGTTTTAAGAAAAATTCCGATACTTTTATTCATAGCATCCTTTTATAAGGCATTACCAAATAAAAATACTTCACGAAGGAAGGAAAGTAAGCTCAAAGGTCTAAAGTGAACTTTGAATCTTTTATAAAGTTATAGTTCCAAAGGCCAAGTCTGTTTTAGCTTTGCATTTTTTTTTATTTGAAGATAGATCCCAAAACAATTCTAATACTTACCAAACTGGTGCTTAATTTGGAAATTGTGACAAAAACGTTCATCAGGTGTAGAGTAATGGTAGTATTATTTAGAAAAACGGAAGAAAATAAGAATTTATCAAGCTGAAAATTTAATGGACATGATTAAGATCTGGAGTGTCGAAAACATGGAACTCTTCATATAATATCAGAGGGGGATCAGATTCCATGAAGGTGTAAGTATATATCCCCTGTCGATCAGTCATAACAGCTGTTAAAATATCTACAGAATTATGTATTTGTTGAAATCGTAAAACATTTGAAAATAAACATAATTATAAATTTAAACCGTTACCTTTTATTTTATTAATATTTATAGATATGTTTCATTTGTACAACAAATTCGATTAAAGCTTGTTCTGCATAAGAATTAATTTAAAATGTTCTTCAGTATTAAACTGATTTTTTTTTTCGAACGAAAAAAGAAATTGCGGAAATTTGTTACGCGTGTGTTTTAGTGATATCTCTAGTTTCTTTTTATAGATGATAGAAATAACTTTTCTGTTTCCTGTTTTTGCTAAATTTTGAGTTTCATTTCTGCAGCAGAAAGAAGAGGAATGAACAAAAAAATTAAAGCTGTAAGTGCGGAGAATAATAATGGATTAAACTACATATACTGCATTGTAGATGGGCAATGTGTTTGAGTACTTTTCAAGTGAATATTTTTGAAATGTGTTGTATATATATTTTTTAAAATGTATAAAAACAATCAAAACTTGAATGCTTCATGAACCTGTAAACTATAATTTGAATTTTCACTATATAGGAAAAGACTTCAGACGAGTATGAAAATGTTATCTCTAGTAAGCCCACCACAGGTACATCAAATGAATCGCTGGTAAGTCAAAGGTAAATTCTGCTATAGGCAAACATTTTAAGCACTAGTCATTAAAAATCAAAAACATTTTTTCATCCCTCCCCCTCAACAGCAAGAAAATTTCAACATCAATGCTGAACTTTTCCAATTTTTCCGGAATTAATTTATAAAAATGTTTCCTCATCTTCGCTAGCCAAGGGTTTTTGATTCACTACTGCGTTCGGGGATATTCTTCTACTTTGGGAAAAAAAAAACCATCGATCTCATTCTATGAAAAGGCAAACTGATGAATGGTGTCATCCAAAATCTTAAAATTTGTGTAAAATATGAATTAGAATCTATATTGAAGATGTATGTTAACTTTGCACTTTAAATAACAATTAAAAAATTAAAACCTTCTTATTTATATTTATTTAGATTTTTTAGATTATTGATTATATATTGTTTAACACCGAGTCGGATCTTGTATATGAGAAACATTGAGTCCAGCAATTGACTTTATATGTTATGTTAGCAAAACTGTAAACGTATTAAACGAAAAGAGAATATTTTCTTTCACTTTCCCCCATAGTTACTAAATCGGCTGAAAATGTATAAAGGATAATGAAAATGTCTAAACACATAATTATAATTATGCACGTTTTTGTATTGTCGTTGTTTATATGAAAAAAGGTATATTAAAGTTGTTTTTTTCTAATATGTGCATGTTTTCCTTTTCCTTTATGAATTAATCCTTAAAATAATCGCCATTATGTTTGTTCTTTAAAAAAATACAGTTTCAAGAAACAAAATTCGATCATTCAGTTGAATTTTTTTTATATTGAAGAATGACGACCACGCGTATGAGCCGGTAGGTCTTTATTATTTATTAAATTAAAATTGTCTAAATATATATATTGTATATTTATAAGACTAGCAGTGTGTTTTCTTCCCAATTAACACTGGGTCTCTTCTTCATGGATGTTCTTTGTATTGTTCAAATTCAATCTTAAACTTGTTAATCTTATTTGAAAGAATATTTTGCAAAATTTTCTACGTATATTTTCTTATGATTTATTACAAATAAACTTGTATTGGTCTTAAACAATATTGTTTAGGACATGTAACTTACAATGAACTCTTGTTTCTTGAACGTTTATCGATAAAAATAAAATTTTGGAGACATTTATGACAAAAAAATCATAACATTAAAAAAGGAAATCCATTTACATGTACATGTGACCTCAGCATATTTTGATATATGCATTTTTAGCTCTACTGGTCAGAGACCAGAAGAGCTTATGCGATAGTAATGCGTCCGGCGTCCGTCCGTCTGTCTGTCTGTAAACAATTTTTCAAAATGCTACTCCTCCTAAAGTTTTGGTCTGATTTCAATATAACTTGGCATACAAGTAGAATACACTAAGATACATAATTCTGTGTATCGGTTTTTGATTTCGATGAACGGTGTTGCCGTGGTTACTAAAAATAGAAATTTGTGTGAAATTTTTTCATAATGCTATTCCTCCTACAGTTTTGGTCTGATTTCAGTATAACTTGGCACACAAGTAGAATACACTAAGAAACCTAATTCTGTGTATCGGTTTTTGATTTCGATGAACGGTGTTGCCGTGGTTACTAAAAATAGAAATCTCTGTGAAATTCTTTCAAAATGCTACTCCTCCTACAGTTTTGGTCTGATTTCAGTATAACTTGGCACACAAGTAGAATACACTAAGATACATAATTCTGTGTATCATTTTTTTTTTATTTCAATGAACGGTGTTGCCGTGGTCACTAAAATAGAAATTTCTGTGAAATTCTTTCAAAATCCTACTCCTCCTACAGTTTTGGTCTGATTTCAATATAACTTGGCACACAAGTAGACTACACTAAGATACATAAATCTGTGTATCGGTTTTTGATTTCGATGAACGGTGTAGGCGTTGTTACTAAAAATAGAAATTTCTGTGAAATTCTTTCAAAATGCTACTCCTCCTACAAATTTAGTCAGATTTCAATATAACTTGGCACACAAGTAGAATACACTAAGATACATAATTCTGTGTATTGGTTTTTGATTTCGACGAACGGTATGGCGTTGTTACTAAAAATAGAAATTTTTGTAAAATTCTTTCAAAATGCTACTCCTCCTACAGTTTTGGTCCGATTTCAATATAACTTGGCATATAAGTAGACTACACTAAGATACATAATTCTGTGTATCGGTTTTTGATTTCGACGAATGGTGTTGGCGTTGTTACTAAAAATAGAAATTTCTGTGAAATTCTTTCAAAATGCTACTCCTCCTACAGTTTTGGTATGATTTCAATATAACTTGGCACACAAGTAGACTACACTAAGGTACATAATTCTTTATATCCGTTTTTGACTTCAATGAACATGATTACCTTGGTTAATAAAGAGAGCAATTTCTGTTACTCTCAAAATGCTACTTCAAATACAGTTTTAGTCTGATTATAATATAATGTGGCATGCAAGTAGACTACACTAAGAAAGAGACTTATTCAAGGATCATTATTCTCTTTTTTGCTAGTGTAAAGTTTCAATTCCCAACTGTTTAAGTACTTTCCTCTTCCTTTGCTATAAGTACAAACTAGTAGAGCTTCAGTCTCGACAGAGACTTCTGGTTTCTTGAATATTGGAACTCTCAATAGTTTAAATATTTGAATGACAACCGTTCGAAGTTCTGTATTTACTCCAAACTGGTTAATTAAAAAATTAGAACGTGTCAAAAGTTTCATTGTCTCGTAATTCCACGTAGTATGCTAGGAAATCGGGTTGGTCGAGGTGGGTTGGTCCCTCGTTATTTTCCGAAGATAAGTTTATTGTTATTAATTTATGATAGAAGTTTTGATAAATGATCGGTCAATACCCACTTTCACTTTTAATTAACAAATAACCCCTACCCCCACCCCACCCCCCACCCCCACCCCTACCCCTCGCAACGCCCCAACACACTTACATGTATAAAATATTATTATGTGAATGGACACTTATTTTTTTAATGTCAAAGTGTTTTTTTTTTCCGAAAATTTTAGTTTTTTACCATTCAATTAATATTTTATTCTTCTTAACTTGAAAAAGTGTAAAACGTCATTTAAAAAAAAGAAATTTTCAAGTGCAATATTCAGGTGCTTCTCCATAAAGTGGAAAATATAAATAGCATCTCTATATTAGAACTATCGAAAATTGAAAAAAAATTTTGCAAAGAAGAAGCCTTTTGGTAACATCTCCTTTTTAATTGTTTGTGTAAATTAACAGCTCATACACGGACTGCTGAGAAACAAGAAATTGTCGCTAATACTTGCAATGTTCAAAATCAAAAGCATCACAACAAACTTAGGATGCTCTTAGGACAAGCTTTGTGTTGTCCAAAAGTTAGGAAAAACTAAGGCAAGTTCCTAAAAGGAAAACTTCGAGAAACTGACTTAAGACTATGACATTTCCTACGACGTTCTTAGGACACACCGTGGTCCTAAGATAGCTTCATGAACATGCCAGCAGGGCTTTAATTCTTTATATTATACATGTATATATATAATTTCGAAAGACATTTTATTGGAAACCAACAACTCTTAGACCTTTTGACCTTGACCTTGGAGATTTCCCTACTTATGAAAAAACTCTAACCTTGGTCATAACTTTTGAACGGTAATGGCTAGTGCACTCATACTTCACATATGTAATTCTTGTGAGAAGACGCTTTATTGGATACCAAGAACTTTAACCCTTTGACCATTTCCTTCGAGTTTGACCTACTCTTAAAAAGCAAACCTTGACCATAATTTTTAAAGGGTTAAGGCCAGTGCTATCCTTGTGACAAGACATTTCATTTGATATCAAGAACTTTGACCTTGGAGTTTCGCATACTTTTTTTTAAAAAAATCAGCTTGACAATAGCTTTGAACGGTTAGGGCTACATGTAAGGGCTTCCATACTTCAAATACTAGTATGTGTTTTTTGTGGCAAGACATTTCATTGGATACTAATAATCTTGACCTTTTGGCCTCGGAGATTTCTGTTCTTATGAAAAAAACTTTAATCTTGGTCCAAATTCATATTTCACAACTGTATTTTCAGTGCGAATACCCTACTTTGGGTACCAATATAATAGATTTGGATTTAAGAAAAGTTTAATCTTCGCTACGTTGCCATACGGGGGGCATCAGTGTTTCACAAACACATTATTTTGAGCATGGTTTCAGTCTGTTATCTCCTATTTCAATGGAACATATTTGTTCAAGACTAGTGTGTCGTCATCCCTTATTGTCACTGAGCAAAGAGTTCAACATTATAGTTCCCTATCCAGTGAAAATCTTTAAGCTGCGCAGTACACAGGTATGTACATGAAAATATATGCAGCACATCAGGGTTATCCGTTTGATTCGAACCTGCGGGTTCTCAGGTAGAAACATCTATTGTTTGGACTGTAAACTCCGATTAAATTATAAATTTTTAAAAATTAAATTAAGTCTCACATAGATGTCAAATTTAGATTTGTGACCGGACTATCTATCAATGCGTATGACATTAATGCGTGTATTTTATTTGAATTGTAGATAGAGTTCAAAGGTTACAATGGCAGTGCAGATTGTGAGGCAATAGAGAAAAGAAATCGCACGGGGGATGGTTTATCTGCAAATCAAGGAAAACAAGATGAGGTAGAGAAATAATCAAATTTTGAAACCAGTTTCAATCAAACAGCGACGGTTTTGAAGAATCTAGGCATCTGAAACGACTGTCTCTCCGTTAAAATTAGCAAAAAAAGTTCATTATCCTAAAATGTATTGATGAAGGTTGTTCACAAAATTACATAAACTCTCTAATCTTTAAAATTTTATGCAATTTAGACAAATACCAATCACCTATCAAGATCACTGGACCTTTTTATCTAGGCATTGTAAATACTTTTTTACAGCTAGATTGCAGGTAGCACCTTTATGTCGTCCCTTTAAAAGAAAAAAAAATTACTATTTGCGACTATTTTTACTATTTTGTCTGATGAAGTAAGCAATGGTCAACTTACATCTTGTTTTCAATTATCGTTATCAGGCATTACAAGTTTCTATTCCGACAACTGACCTGAATGCACTACTCATATGAAGACATATACAAACTATGAAGCATAGCTCGTCTATACAAACTAATACAGACAAAGCATTCTCGGAGTTGCTTCCCCTAGATAATCCTACAAAATACATATATTTATGAATAGATTGAATTGTTATTTGAAAAAGAAACCAATAGTTCTAATTATTTAAAGATAGATTTCATCAAAATTTTTAATGGTTTTTTTTTAAAGAAACCAAATGTTAAAACATTCTAAAAGGGAGTGAATTTTCTTTAAAATATCAATTTTGAGTTATTGTTATACTGTATTTTTCTTTATTACAGTTGAGTGGCAGACCTCCATGTATTAACATAATTAAAAAAATTCTGACAAAGAAGACGGTTGTGATTGGAGCTGTCGTTATCATTATTGTTGGTATTTTATTAGCAGTTCTAAGGATGATGTGACATAAATGCTATCTGGGGCCCTTTTTCCACGAATTATATGTAATATATAACGATGTTGGTAGTTTTCAAACATGAGTGAATAAATACGACGCCTTTTGAATAATTTCAATAGTTCAGACACATTTTAATTATAAGGGATACTGCATTATCTTTGATTTTTTTAGACCCTATCACAGCTAAATTTGGTCAGGTTTGTGAGAATATGTTCTTTTATGGAAAGAGAATGGGCGGGTCTTAGTACAAAAGAGGGATATGCGTGTCCGAGAAGACCTTATATGGCTATTGTTTTTATTTGGCACATAGTCATTATCATCGGATTGTCCAATCCGATGACAGAACAACAAAACATACTGGTTTACTACGTTTACATTTTATCACAGACACGTGGTTTAAGTCAATGTACCTGTTATCCTTTTCTACATTTCAAACTTTTATAATGGTCAGCTAAATGAGGAAATTGTACCTACCTGAACGCGTATATTTTAAGGGCTTCAAAGAGTGGGGCGGGATTAAAATGCAATGGGAATTGGATGTAAACATGATACCCCTACCACATTAAAAGATCTATATCTTTCAAATCACGTTTCTATTTTTGTTTAAAATAGTATTCTATAAAGGTACACATATCAGTGATTAGTTATAGACAGAAATTTTAGTAAAATTTAGACATTTATTTTTTTTTCAATTTACCGGGGGCCGCAAGTCACCTCATCCTTTATGTATTGATTTAAATTGTTAAATCAATTAACATCACATACTACTCTTCATGTATACGAAAAGCGAGACTTAGTGATTATACGAATTCATGATGATCGATTGATTGTATACTGTTTAACGTCCCTCTCCAGAATATTTCACTGATATGGAGACGTCACCATTGCCGGTGAAGGGCTGCACATTTAGGCATAATTATGCTCGGCACTCAGGGCCTTTGAGCAGGGAGGGATCTTTATCGTGCCACACCTGCTGTGACACGGGGCCTCGGTTTATACGGTCTCATACGAAGGACCGCCCCATTTAGTCACCTTTTACGACAAGCAAGGGGGTACTGAGACCTATTCTAACCCGGATCCCCACGGGGCCATGATGATCGATATTATTAAGATTAATTATATAGTCATATAAAAAAATGCAAAAAATAATTATGTATTTATGAGTGTTCCAAAATATGTTTGTTTTATCTTGTCTTGAGAATATATCACAAAGAACTAGAAAATTTTACGCTACATGTATGTACATGTATATGTACAAAAAAAAGATAGTATTGTCATTGTTCATTTGTTAAAGTACCTTAGTGAGGCATGGGCTTCTGAACAATTCTTCATTGAATAAAGATTGCGAACATTTTATTTGTCTTTGTAAGTAAGTTTTGAGTTTTCAGAATATGCGGTCTTCTTTATTGATCCAAAGACAACCTCGACTTTTCTTTTCATTTTTAAAGCAAGATGGATATTACATAATTTATTTCAAAGGCAAAATATGTCAACATTTTTGTTTTCTTAAATTTTCGAAAATTCGTTAGCCCACATTGTTTTTCTCACAAGAAAATGCTACATTTTCCTTACAACAAAACTTTATAAAACTTGAGTCAAACTGTATTGCGATATGTATTGCAATATTTTCAACGAAAATAATATGGCATTTTCTTGTTATATTCATGTTAATTTACATGCAGAGTGTACATAACTATGCAAAGTAACCCAAAGGAAAAAATCTTGATGATTTTATTAAAGGTATGCTCAGAAGTACATTCATAAAACAGTCTTCTGTCTTACTGTATGGCTTAATAACAAGTCTTTCTTAAATTTAATTTTACATTTAATTATAAACTTTGTCTAAGCATTTTGCCAATATACGAGGGTTGTCCAAAAAGTTCGTGGACAATGACGTTTTTGTTAAAATAAATGGTTCTTTATAAATATTTTGCATATCAAAATATTTCTTATGAAAACCAAGTCATAATGATTTAAGGGGGGCGACTATAGTTTTCTTGTGTGAAAACTACAATAGCGAAACTCTTCATTTGTATACCATATATAACTGACATTAACTTCAGTGTACATGCAAAGTTTAGGGGAAATCTACCGTCCAGGTATTTTTGAGGGACCGTCTCAAAATACAGGTACATTTACTATAGGATGATATAGGAAAATGCCAAGTTTTAGCACTTTAAAGCAAATTATACAAATACTACAATTATAGACATTTTGTTCAAACTATAATATATGATTAGTAATACTATATTATACAATATATGTAAGAAACACAAAATTCTACCCTCTTGGTACCAGAGGGGGCATCTCAAAATGCAAAAAATTAGCAAATTTTACTATTCTTATAAAGTATTATAAAATATGATGTGCACAATGGATTCACATGAATACATAATAAAAATATTGGAGATATTCTCAAATTTATATGTTTTAAATTTCAAGAGCGTATGTTTATTACTTTTTCTTTAATAATATTTTATTACCCCTTTCTTTAAGAGCTACAGATTATCATAGCGTCAAAAACACACTGCAACGACGTCAACCTACCTATCAATTGCAAAATCGGTTAAAAAATCAGTTATATCAAATTGTAATTACATTTTTATACCTATAATTTCTTAATTTTGTTTAATTTAAATAATTAAGCGAAAAAAGTTGCATTAAAACAGTAAATACGCTTCATTTTACTATGATGCGCGAAATATTGCACAATGGAAACTATAGTCGGCCCCTTAATTTTTATTTATGGACCTTAATATTGTTGTAAAAATAGTAGTCTTTAAAGATCGTAGATACTGGCAGATAGTGCGCACGGACCAAGGTTAAAATGTCATAAACTCTGATAAAAAATGTTCGGATTAGTTTAATTATTATCTACATAAAACAAGTCAAAACCTGATAAAAATTATATGTAACACAAACTAGAGGTACTGTGAGCAATGAGCTCACTAAATGATACCCCCTGCCTCCCATAATGTCCATGTGTTGCTATTTATTGTTTTACGGTAATGTGTTAAGAGGAATAATTCGTCCTATCAATTGTTATCCAGAAGCATCTAGAGCTGCCAACCCCTACGATTTTGGCGTAAAGCGTACGAAATCAGCATCTAAAATACGCCTTACGATTTCTTTCTATATTCTTCCGATTTCAGTTTTTCTCGTTCAAAGTTTATAATACCGGTATTTTCATAGCTGGCAGTCTATA